CAGAACATGGTGCTGCGCATACCTGGAAATGTCATCTATTTTGTGATACATATGGGAGGTTTTACAAGTTGCTGTGAACATTTTGCTTTTATCATGGTTTGAAATGCACTTATCAGTGCAGATTCTTTCTAACCCCAAAATATAAAGTAGCGTTGCAGTTCCCCTTTAAACTAAGCGCCAGTAATATCAGCAGAACAGTAGCCAAAACAGTTACTGCTTTGTGTCTCTTCCATCTCGTGCTAGTGTTATGCTGCATGCACACAACAGCGCTACAGTTTTGCTGCCTTGTTTTGAATAACTAAAGAAAACGCGCGCTGCCTCGTTCTGCCATGGAAACATCTCGTTCCCTTTCCCCGGATCATAAAAACAAACACCCTTCCCCCAGATCGGATTCACCACCGACCCCCGAATGGCCCGCTCCTCGCCGTACCCCACGGATGTGGCGCGCGTGGTCAACGCCCCCATCTTCCACGTGAACGCGGACGACCCCGAGGCTGTGATGTACGTCTGTAACGTGGCGGCCGAGTGGAGGGCGACGTTCCACAAGGACGTGGTGGTGGATTTGGTGAGCGGTGTGTCGGGACGCTCGTCTTGGGCAGCGGGGGGAGGAGAGCAACGTCTGTGATAGTGTGTTGCTCTTTAGCCCTGGCATCCTTACGTACTGGGAGCTGTAATGATTCGAACAATCTTGTAAGGTATAAATGTATTCATTGGAGTCTTCTTAATTTAACAAACAGGCTTTTTTTAAATGAGTTCCACTGCATTTCGGGATAGTCTTGCTAAATGACAATTGTGATTGCCAGCATACCTGTTTACGTGTGTTTTTAGGACACCCGTTATGTGTTAAGTGTGAATGACTGGTAAATGCAGTCTTTCATGAGACAAAGGCGTGAAGCTCTTTATTGTGAAACGGATCAGTACAGTAATTTGGAAACAAAATGTGTTTCCGCTACCAGTGCTTCTGTAAGCAAAAGTCTGATTTGTCCCAGGTCTGAAAGTGAGAACTGCTGGAAAAACCTGAGAGAGATGCTTCTAACTCTGCTGTGCCAGAACTGGAAAGATTTGGATTAAGTGAAGTGGGAGCAGTATAGTTTTATACTCAGTGTCCAGAAATTGCATGATGCTTTTTTTCTAAGCCAGTTAAATAAATGCAGTGAAAGCGCAGCTCATTTGACATTCACTGTGCAATAGAGACTGGTTGTGTGGTCTTGACTGTCTGCGTGTCTGCGTCTCAGGTGTGCTACAGGCGGAATGGTCACAATGAGATGGACGAGCCCATGTTCACCCAGCCCCTGATGTACAAGCAGATCAAGAAGCAAAAACCGGTGCTTCAGAAGTACGCCGAGAAGCTCATTGCTGATGGAACAGTGACCCGGCAAGAGTACGAGGTGAGGCCCCTCCAGAACCAGACCCAGAGCTCGGCTCCTGTGTTTCCCAGGGGGAACGAGTCGGCATGCTCGGCTCACCTGCCTGTTCTTGGAGGGCACGATGGGCCCTTCAGATTCCGTGGCGCTCGTTTCAGGTGGGGTCTGCTGTGTCATATAGTTAACAGGGTGGGTTTAAAATCAGATAAAGGACGATTGGTTTTAGTTTGAAGGCTACAGCATCCTGCTCAACAGTGTCCTGAGGTGTTGGGCTTCTGTGAGCTTGCAGTGTGTTGTATACTTCATGCTGTATCAAATGTCCTCCTAACAAATGGACAAAGAGAGATGGTCTGAAAGTGCGCAGACAGTAGCTATTTATTATACCTGCATTAAAAATGATAAACTTGCATATCGCAGTTGACACAATCACTCATTTTGAGTAAGTCTCATTAACGACGGTTCTCCTCTTGTTTGTAAGTCAGCAAGGAATGGGCATTGTGCAAGCACCTCCCTCAGAGCACTGTGAGTAAACACAAGCAGACATCTGTGACCCATAATGCATTTCTCCCACCCACCCCTCTCCAGGAGGAAATTTCCAAGTATGATAAGATCTGTGAGGAGGCGTACACACGCTCCAAGGACGAGAAAATCCTCCACATCAAGCACTGGTTGGACTCCCCCTGGCCCGGTGAGCTCTACTTCTTTCTCCCTGTGGTGAAAGTTCTTATCCTAATGTTAGGTCTTATCCTAGGATAGTGTAACTCCCATGTGAAACAGATGAGATTTACTGTGATGTACTGATTTTCCTTGGCATTATAAAGTGGGAGCAGTTTGAGATAACTGATATAGTGTACAACTATATAGCTCTTTACTGGACCCTCCACTGAAAGCACTTTACAAGTAATAGGGACTCCCCTCCACCACCACCAGTCTGCAGCCCCCACCTGGATGATGTGACGGTGGCCATAGTGCGCCAGTACTCTCACCACACACCAGCTCTCAGTGTGGAAAACAGAGTGATGAAGCCAATTCATAGAGGGGGATTAGTAGAAGGCCATGGTTGGTAAAGCCAGGGGGACAGAATTCGCCAAGACACTGATGTCAGGTGCTTGGAATGAAGGGCTACATGAATGTGCATTGAGCATGCTTTCCTGTGCCAGCTTTCTGTTTGTGTGTACCAGAGTGTGTATCTTGCGTGAGGGGGCTGTTAAGAAGGCTTTGCGTGCGTGCGTGTGTGCATGTGCGAACGAGCAACTGTCTGTTGCCATCTTGCACAGCAGGCACTTGTCAGTGTGCAAGCGCAATAACCATTGTCGTGTAGGGCTGTAATCTGTATGTGTGCTTATATCTGCTTGCCGATTCCATTGTGTGTCTTCAGGTTTCTTCACTCTGGACGGCCAGCCTAAGAGTATGACCTGCCCATCAACCGGCCTGAGCGAGGAGGAGCTCGGTCATATCGGACAGGTGGCTTCCTCTGTGCCCGTCGAGGACTTCACCATCCATGGAGGTAGGCACACATGTAGCTAGGGGGCTTCTAACACCCAAGAAACAACATCTTCGTCTTGTTTTCTCTTAAGTGTTAATCTGTCTCACGTAATTGTTTCTGATTTGAATGGATTAAGTAACTCATATTGAAAATGTAAAGAGCCATAAAATATTGTATGTATTAAATACGAGAACTCGGATCAGTTTGATAATTGATGGCAAAATCAATTTGTCGCAGGTCTGGACTGTCTTGAGCTGGTTTCCCGTTAACTGAGGACGATGTGTTGTGTGCGTGCAGGTCTGACCCGTATCCTGAAGGGGCGTGGGGAGATGATTAAGAACCGCATGGTGGACTGGGCTCTGGCGGAGTACATGGCCTTCGGCTCTCTGCTGAAAGAGGGCATCCATGTCCGGCTAAGTGGACAGGATGTGGAGAGAGGGACCTTCAGGTAGGAGAGGCAGGCTCAAGTACTCGCCTTGCCTGGGACTGCTGAGCACAGACACTCTTCGTGCTGCTCTTGATCGCTGTCTCACTTTCCCTCTCTCTGGGCCTCTTACCAGCCATCGGCACCATGTACTGCATGATCAGAATGTAGACAAGAGGACCTGTATCCCCATGAACCACATCTCTCCTAACCAGGCCCCTTACACTGTGTGCAACAGCTCCCTGTCCGAGTACGGTGTCCTGGGTGAGTCGCACTTCCTCCTCTTGTTTTTGAAATGCGGAAGCGCCAACGTGTTGCTGTTTTTTATCATCCTCCCAACCAATTTGGAATCACCAGTTGTTTTATTAGAATAAGTAATTCAATGCTGAAAGGTGAAGAAACACCTTCTTCACACCCAAAGAAGGCTCCAGAGCTGAAAAGTGTTCCTTTTCTTTTCCTCTCAGCATGGAATAAACCTTTACCTGTTCCTTTACAGCCTACGTATGCTGACACAGCTACCTAATCAAATGTCAGTTGTTTTAATATCCAGCTTTCTGGCAGCAACTTCTGCCTCCACTCTAGAGCGAGTGTTGGACACATGGGCAGACTTCGCCAGTGCGCCCACTTGCAGGTTTTGCCATATGGTGCATTGCAGCGCCTTAAAGGAGAGCGAAACTGCAGAAGCAGCGTCTCTCTCACGGATGGGTATCTGCAGACTTCCTGCAAGTCACCAGAGTAGCTGTATACAAGAAAGCAAGAAAACCAGCAAAACCTAACTAATCCCAAGAGAATGGCGTTTTTTTGTGCTTCTGTACGTTTCTTATCTCCCCCCCCCCCTCCCTTCCTCACCCTCCTCTGTTTTTTCCTCTCTCGCTCTCTCGTTGTGCAGGGTTCGAGCTCGGCTTCGCCATGGCGAGCCCCAACGCCCTCGTCCTGTGGGAGGCCCAGTTCGGGGATTTTCACAACACGGCGCAGGCCATCATCGACCAGTTCATCTGCCCCGGCCAGGCCAAGTGGGTGCGCCAGAACGGCATCGTCCTGCTGCTGCCCCACGGCTTGGAAGGAATGGTAACCGCCGCCCGCGCTCGCTCTCGATTGGGATGCGCTTCCGCCGGGATTGGGTCTTGCTCTGCCGTAGCCTGGACTGAAGGTTTGAATGTCGACGTCGCTCCAAGAGCCCCTCCGGCTTAACCCTCCCGTGGCCCTCCTTGACCCCGAGTTAACAGATTAGTCGCCACCGCCCTTGGAGGAGGCTGCATTCGCAGGCAGTGGAGGGTACCCAGCATGCAACGCGCCCCAGGGGCTCTTCGAGCAATGTTAATACACAGGCTGTCAGCACAGCATGACCTCTCTGTTCTAGGGGCCAGGCAGGATGGAGACAACCAGATGCGCTCTCGCGGGGTTTAGCCAGTTAAAGTGAGGATTCAAGTTTTTCTTTTGTATCTAACGAAAGGAAAGGTCTAACAGCTCTTCCTCTCTCCTGCTCTTTCTGTTTGCTGTCCCTGTCCGTAGGGCCCAGAGCACTCCTCCGCTCGTCCAGAGAGGTTTTTGCAGATGTGCAATGATGACCCAGATGTGTTCCCGGTACGTCATACACAAGACGAGCACATTGTCCCCAGTATAAATTGAACTGGCGTATTCTCCTGCTTAACACACTGAATGAAGCGGATCGTTTATTTAAAATGATGAACTGATCCTTGAGAAACAGGCCCTTGTGGACGCTGATTTGAAGGCAGGACAGGTGAATTAATTATGAGGGGCTGTTGTTTGGAATTTCATCACTTTACGGAAATGGTTTTGTTTGCGTGCTGTAGAGAGTCACCGAGGACTTTGCTGTGCGTCAGCTGTACGACTGTAACTGGATCGTCGTCAACTGCTCCTCACCGGCCAACTATTTCCACGTGCTGCGGAGGCAGATCCTGTTGCCCTTCAGGAAACCAGTGAGTCGGTGCACTCTGTCAGAGCTGCAGAACAGCTCAGCACTCCGCCGCACTCGCACACCAGATCCACCCACAGTGTCTCAGATAACAGACACTCGCTCGCACCCCGTTCCTCTTCTGTGGTCTAGCTGCTCAGGCTAACAACGAAAGAGGCTCAGTATTCTTTTTTTTTTAAAAAGGAGACCCAGCTTACCGTCTCTGTTTTGAGTATTCACTTCCATGAAGTTCGACGTGGGAAAAGACTTAACGATCGCATTGCAGTAGTCACGCCTCTACCGAGCGCTTGACTTCGATTGCTTTTTCACCGTCCTCGGCTTGCATGATAGCTGGCCCAGGCAGCAGGCCAGGCTCCCACTGCAGAGCCATCTGAGCCAGCCCAGGCTTTAGCGAAGGCCTGGAACTGGGTGAGCGCGACAAACTGCTAGCTGCATGAAAGCAGGTCCTCTGCACGAGCAGTCTGACCCAAGATTGACAGTCCACCGCTACCTGATGGAGGCTTCTTGTAAGGAACGGACACCGTAAATGAAATGTTTTGAAACGTTTTAATTTCTTTCCTTTTTCCCCAGCTCATTGTTTTCACCCCAAAGTCTCTGCTGCGTCACCCTGAGGCCAAGTCCACTTTTGATGAAATGCTGCCAGGTGAGTCCTGCTCCCCTGAACCCAGCCAGACTGGACACAGGGCTGATAGCTGGGGGGTCTTTTTGCAGAGCTGTGCTTGAATGGCGAGAGGCAAACATTACCTGTGACTTGTGGAGTTTTCCACGTGGGAATATTTACTGTAAAGTGTCCAATGGATGACACTCTCCATTTAAGGGGATGCAGCTCCATTTTAAATGTGTAGAGTAGAGGAACGTATTGCCATATGTACATGTACATGTAAAGGAACAAGTACAAGGTTTATTCCATGCTGAAAGGTGAAGAAAGAAAACACAACGTTTCGGCTGTGGAGCCTTCTTCGAAGAATTTGGAATTCTTACTCGCACCGATTTCTCAGGACATACACAGTACAGCAAATGGCACGGTACAACAGACAACACCATGCAATGTAGACAGTACCTTACAAACTTTAAATCAATAAATATGTTGTGGAGAATGATATATACTGATGGAAAAAAGAGACGCAACATTTTCTGGAATGAGAATACTCTAGTTATCGCTTATGTACTTTCACAAAAAGTTGTCAATTTGTTTTAAGCCCTCTGACCAGCAGTACACCTTGTGCAGTGAGGCATTGCAACTGAACGAGCTTGACACGAAAGCTCGTCAGGTGCACTTTTACCCAACAAGGTCCAGGTGGAACAATCCCTGATCAGCTCACCTTTAAAAAGGCCTTAATTCAAAGCTTAGGTCACTGCAAGAAAAAGTCCACGTTGAATCAGTTTTCTGTGTATTCCATAATGCCTCGACTGTCACCAGAAGCAAGGGAGAGGGCCATTGGCATGCTGCAGGCAGGCATGGCAAGTGGCAGTGTTGCCAGACACTATGGAGTGAGCTGCTCCACTGTGTCCCGACTGCAGAGAAGTTTTCAGCAGACTGGCAAGACAGATGACCGTCCAAGATCCAGTAGCCTGCGAGTGACCACACCAGAGCAGGACCGACACGTCAGACTGGTCCATCTGAGAGATCGTTTCAGATCTGCCACCTGTACTGCTGCTAAAACTGCCGGCAGAACCAGTGCCCACATCAGTGACAGGACAGTAAGGCTCCATGCTGCTGGCCTTAGAGCAAGGCGACCTGTCAGAGGCCCTCTGTTCACACCTCCTAGACATCACACCCGACTCTTGGGCAAGACAGAGGCTGCGGTGGACTCGCCAGCAGTTGCATCAGGTCCTCTTCACAGATGAGTCACTCTTCAGCCTGTTCCACGCAGACAGGAGGGCAGGAGTGTGGAGGAGGAGGTGTTGCATTTCTTTTTTCCATCAGTATATACTGTAGTAGTGGAAAAAAACACGGTAGTCCATGGAAAAAGTGCATCATGCAGACATGCACTGAGTCTGAGGCATTGCAGTTAGCTGTTGAGAGTGCGTACTATGAGGACTGCGGTAGGGTAGAAGCTGTTCTTGCGCTAAGTGGTCCGTGCTTTAATAGTGCGGCACCGCTTGCCTGAGCGCAGGAGGGAGATCAGTTTGTGGCCGGGATGTTTGGGATCCTGAATGATGGATTGGGTCTTATTGCGACAGCGGATGGTGTAAATCACATCCTATAATCCTCTGGTTTGCCACAACCCTTTGTAGTGTGTCTTTGTCACGCATGGTAGTATTGCTGTACCACACAGTGATACCACTAGTGAGGATACTTTCAGTGGTGCTGCAGTAAAGGTTCATGAGCCAAACCGCTTTACTTTAAGCATCGCAGAAAGTGCAGACGCTGCTGTGCCCGTTTCAGACTGGCTACGGTGTTGTGAGACCAAGCTGGGGTCCCCTGCATGCCCTCCGCCCTGTGCGGCCTGTACTGAAAGCGCGTGCTGTCTCTTCCAGGCACTCACTTCCAGCGACTGATCCGGGAGGAGGGGCCGGCGGCACAGTCCCCCGAGGGTGTGCGCCGCCTCCTCTTCTGCACAGGGAAGGTGTATTACGAGCTGACCAAGGAGCGCAAGGCACGCGGGCTGGAGTCCCAGATTGCCATCTCCCGCATGGAGCAGGTACCACTGCACGCTGTACCCAGCGCGTGCGCGTACCCCCACGCACCCACGCACCCACCCACCCACGCACACAGAGCAGGGTCTCCATGCTGCTGTGATGCACCTGGAGCTTTAAACCAAGGCCTGGGTGCTCCCTGAACTCTGGAGTTCCTGTGCTCTTTGGGTGTGCCCACCCCTCTGTCATTCAGCCCGTCTCCACGGCCTTTTACTCTCCAGGCGTCGGCCTGTTTCTCTGTGGAGCTGCGCACGCGCCCTGCCCGTCTCCCTGCCCCCTGGCTCTGTCCCACGCTTCCTCACTCTCTGTGCAGCTCTCTCCGTTCCCCTTCGACCTGGTGAAGGCCGAGGCTGACAAGTACCCGGAGGCGGACCTGGTGTGGTGTCAGGAGGAGCACAAGAACCAAGGCTACTACGACTACGTCAAACCACGCATCCTCACCACGTTTGGTCGCGAGCGGCCAGTCTGGTAAGCAGACTTTCCCTGCATGTTGCACTTCCTCTTTACTGTAGGGGTCTTTCACTGAATGCCATCTCGGTGTCTGACTGGACATCCCAGCCAAGTTACCATTGCCCTTAAACTGGATGGCTGCAGTATCCAGTGGTACAACAGGACTGGATCAGTGACTTTCTTTACTTGTTACCTCCACTACAAGTAGTAATGGGCCCAATTATAGCTGTAAGCATACCAGGAACCACCAAGGTGATCACTTTTTTCAGCAATATTCAAATAGTGATAATATAAAAGGGTTAGCAAGCAGGTAATGTGATTTATTCAAATATATAAAAGAACTAAAGAAAAATGTTCAACCTGTTTATATACAGACATGATAGAATTTTTAAACTTATCCCAACACTTGTTTGGATAATTGGTCTGTAGAAAAGATTAATTATTCATTTATGCACCACAAATTTGATACATTACAAGCCTTTATAAAAACGATACAACTTCAAATAATAATTCCTTATACTTATATAGCGCTTTTCTGGACCCTCCACTCAAAGCTTTCTGCCAGAACACTCCCCACACACCAGCTCTTAGTGGGGAGGAGAACAGAGTGATGAAGCCAATTCAGAGATGGGGATTATTAGGAAGCCATGATGGGTAAAGGCCAGGGGGAAATGTGGTCAGAACACCAGGGTAACACCCGTACTCTTTTCGAGAAACGCCCTTTTTTAATGACCACAGAGAGTCAGGTGTCAGTTTTGAGTTCCAGGGTGATGTAGCTGCTGGCGATAGAAGCACGTTTTGTGTAAAGTGACTCCTCTCTAGGGAAGTAGGAATTTTACGCCAGTAGGTGGCATGCTTTGGTAGCCAAATTGGATTTGACTTAAAGCATTCAAATGATGAAATTCTCAGAAAGGATTGCGTATGGAAAGCAGTTTAAACATCTTTCCACAGATCCTCAACAGGATTCAGGCTGGGCTACTCAAAGACATTCACTTTTTTATTCCTAAGCCACTCCAGTGTAGCTCTGACTTTGTGCTTTGGGTCATTGTCCCACAAAAAGGTGAATTTTGTTTTACAACTTTACGACTAAAGCAGGTTTTCCTCTGGGATTTGCCAGAGCTTTGCTCCATATACTGCATTTTCTCATTAGTCTTGACAAGCTTACTGATCCCTGCTGTTGAGAAGCAGAATTACAACACAGTGCTGCCAAAATATAATAATAATAATTGCTTACACTTATATAGCGCTTTTTCTGGACACTCCACTCAAAGCGCTTTACAGGTAATGGGGACTCCCCTCCACCACCACCAATGTGCAGCCCCACCTGGATGATGCG